CTAGTAGAGGACAGAAGGAGTTGGTAGTTGTGGATAACCAGTTTGTACTGTGCAGATGCTTATTGATAATTATTTTTTTATGGGTGCAAATTGTAGATTTTATATTGATGTTATTTGAATAATTAATACTACAAAGCGAAAAAAATGAGTTGCGCTTCGTTATGAATTGATATTAGAAACACTTGTTTCTACCTTGTAATACAAAAAATAATATATAAATTAGGAATAATACAGATAGATTCCCCATAATATATATAAAAAATGAGCACGCAACAACTCTGTTTATCATTTCAAACAGACCCCTTGAGTGACTTTTTTACTCTTATACCCTGGAAGAAAGAAAAAAATATTTTTTGACAAATACAAGGGGGAAAATCGCTTTGCACTAACAAAACCAAAGTAATTGTAGTAAGTTCGTAACAGAGAAAGTATAGAAGGTCTATCTGGGATTAACCCTGTAAATAATTATAGTCTAGTTAGCACTACTTTAAATTCTCAACGAGGGTAATTCTCACGCTCAGAAAATCTTTGACCCTTTAGACTCAGATGATTTGAGATTCCAATGCAAGCAGACAATTCCGAAGAAAAACACTAAATAATGGTGGGAGAACCATATATACGAAGAATATTGCAATAGGATATTGCAGTTAGGTTTTCTATACTTTTGAGGGCATAAATAAAAGATTGGGTCTCTTTTCTTCCGTACGTAGTATGGCCATCGAAGACTTTGAGTTTTACAAGCTTCATCCTCTCAATACAAAGTAGAAGTAAGATTTTTCTTCTAAAGTTTATGTATTGTTTTTTTAATATATAATTAAGCTTTTTTTTGTCTCCTTCATCAAAGAACCCAACTTATAATATTAGTCACCATACCTAAATATATGTAAGGTTGTTTATGATAATTCTAAGGATGGTAATCTACGAGTTCAGAGTCTAGATGGAAAATCTAATTTTTAGCTTTTCGAAGGAACTAATACTTTGTTTTTCTAATTAATGCATACGTGACTACTCACGCTTACAGTAATTCCGTCAACAATCTAGAATACAATAAAACAACTATACGCTTTGACATTTGCTCTTTCATTTTAAAAAATAGAAAAAATTAATAGAGAAATTTTAGTACACTTGATTGCATGCTAGTGTAAGCTGACATGTTGATCAACACGTCGGTTGAAGATTCACATAAAATTGCTGATCCCCCAAAACAAGTTGGTACATTTGAATTTTCTCGCACAAATATTTAACACAAAAGTGATATGCCATGCCACGTCATCTAGCTACCGCCACCCGCCTAAAAGAAATTAATTAACCCCGCCATCAAAGAAAAAGAAAGAAAAAAAAATACCAATGTTTAAACTCACCTCTGCTTGTACGAAATAGTCAGAGGCAGCTCGGGTCGGATCTGGATCCAGCTATCCTTTGAACCCGTGTCCGGTTCATCGTTGGCCCCCGATAAATCAAAAACGCTCCCTCAGGAGACAGCAGACCATGAAAAGCGGAGCCGTTGTTGTTTCCATGGATAAAGTGGGACCCACTCCCCTACTCGTTCTCCTTCTGGATAAGGATCCCCAAACCACGCCGTCCGAAACCGCGACCGACGCGGTCAGACGCCGCGCCACGTCTCCGCTGCTGACGTAGTTCCACGTCATCATTAAAAAAATTCATTTCTGTCGTGAAAACAAGAAATTAATTTGTATTTTTTTATCCATCACTTGTGTACATGTTCCGAACTCTGTATTAGAACTGTTTATAACTACATATTTATATTTCCTATAATTTTGTATAGCCTGTATTTATTGTTCATATATATATTAGGGTTTTTCCTATAGAGTGTCCATGGGCACTCTATAAGAGAGGAGAGAGATATAGATAAGTGAATTGCCCATGGACCCTTCTGATTTGCACTAAATTCTATGAGCAATTCACTTCTCCATATCTCTCTCCTCTCTAAGAATTGAGATCTATTTGATATATCTTTATTGTTTTAGATCACATTCCCTATACAATTTGATTTAAAACTTAGGAAAAACTACAGAAACCCCCCCTCACTTATATCTTAAATACAGCATTTCTCCTCTCTCTCCACATTTTACTCGCGTCTATTATCTTTGGATTCACACTTTGAAAGTGAGAAATTTATAGATTTTATGAAATTAGCAGACTTTTTCTCGTAGGTTTTTTTTTTCCCACGTCCAACTCCTGTTCATTGACGTGTCCATCAACCTGGGCCCCATCGCTGGATTGGCGAGTCGGCACCTGCACCCAACCTGGTCAACGATCAAGAGGTCGGCCCAACCGCTTCGGCCACCGGGGTCAGGTAAGCATGGGTCCAACTATTCACACTTCCAAACAGTAACTTTGGGGGTATGTGAGGACTAAATTGTCCTTCTCCCAAACCAAAACAGGCCAAGTCCATTCTGGAAATACCCTCAACATCAAAAGGGTATTTTTGGCAATCAAACTCCCAAAATTACTGTTTGAGAGTGGATATAGCAAACATGGGTAAGCATGGGCGTAAAAGCGCGACACGTGGACTGCTGGCCGCGTGGCTGTGCGCTGATGGCTTGCCCTGATGGAAAGGGCAAATGGCTGACTACGTGGATTGTGCCTAGGATCCAGCTGGATCTTTACCTCCATGTCACGTGATTGGAAGAATGGGACCCACTGACTGAAACGTGGCTTCACCGTCTCCCTAGAAGTTTTAAATTTTGTGACGAGAGTACCCCTGAAGAGTGGGAGTTTTATCCACATCTTATCTGGCTGGTTCTCTGGTATGGTCACCACCTGCGAGAGATAATGAAGATTTTTGACGCTTGTTGGTCACCAATTTACGTTTCTAAAAGGCTAATTATATCAATTGGATATTATATAGTTGACCTCATGCATAATATATCTATTCAGAAAATTATTAAAAAAATCAATAGTAATGTATTTCGCTAAATTTGATGTGACTCATCATCTGCTTCTTGGATATCTCCACTCGATTGAACTCTCTTTTTATCTTACTTTCAATTGTAAGAATTTTCATATTATTAATACCATTGTTATTGTTATTAGTATGGATGTTAAATTTTTTTTAGCCATCATCATTATTTTGTGCTGAGGGCTACTGATCACCAGCTTAACAGAGTTTACTGTCAATTTGGGGATTAAATTTTCATGTAGTAATTTTATTGAAATATAATTCCTTGTTTAGATTATTTCATTAAAATAATACCTTTTTCGAAATTTTCTGACATGTGTGCCTAGAGATATTATGTTCCAAGTTACTTCCATATCATCTCAATGTGTTGTTCTCTACACAAAATATAATTTTTTTAAATTGTTAATACAAAATTTATAAGACATAAATTTTCGAGACGACTAAAACGTATTATTTATGTGCTCGGGTAACTAAATTACAAATATTACACCACATGTACATGTACTAGAGACAAAGATATGAAGTCCTTTTGTCATGAATTGCTTTCAGAAATTATAAAAATCTTTAAAGGATTTTTGGGGAGATAATATCTATTATCATAATTTGAGGGGGTTCAATCAAATAATTTGAAGGGGAGGAACATCTAAAATAAACCTATGTTTAAAACCTAGCATTTTTGTGTCTTGTATTACATACCCGACATAGTTTGTATTAGCATTTGCCGTTTTGGTTTATCTCGTGCTAAGTAGGAAAATCTGAAGAACCACTGGTGTGATTTATGATCTCCTTATTCATACAAGATTAAGTTTAGAGATGTGGAGTATCTATAAGCATTAGTTAATATTCCTAAAATTTTAGGGTTTCTTCTGCATAAGCGTAATTTTTTGTACTTTTAACTTTCTTTAGTATGCATGAGTATTCTAAGTCTCTTTAGTATGCAGGAGCGTTTAAATGTTGGTGTAGTATAGATTTCTTGTTTAATTTAACTATGGTAATACGGAGTCTTTATGTTTATCGGTAACAATTCCTAAATTTTGATTTGATTTATTTAAACTATTTAAACTTTTTTTTAAATTTTGTAAGAAATGATGAGTAATTTCTTCTTCTTATTTCCATGTTTATATGTTTTTACATAGCATGCATTAAAAAACTTGCCTTGGTTACTGAGAGTTTAGTATTTTGAGTGTAATTGGCAAGAATTTCCTGATTAATTTATTTGGATCTTTAATTATGATTTTCTTTAATGCTGCATGTTAAAATAGTTATTCCACTTTTCCTTCTTTAATACAAGTTCTAAATCATGTTCAACCGTGTTAATATTTTTTCAGAGAAATTCATGTCTTTTTACACCTTTTATAACGTGACAAAAGGAATTGAGGCTTATGCAGAAACGTATGATAATTAGCTTTTCATAACGTCACATGAAAATTATCTAAGAAATCAAATTGGCACATGGGCGCAATAGAACCCCACCTACCATTGTAAAGATGCCCATTGTCATTTGGCGTGATGACACTAAGTTAACAGGAGTCACGAGTTTTCATCCGGTTCCTCTACAACATTTCAATAAAAGATTACGACAATCTAACATTCAGCAACAACGGTTGGTTCAACAGATCGTTGAGCTCCAACTATTTCCTAAAACACTCATTTATCTAGTACCTTCAAAATTAAGTTATTAAACTCTTTTATTGGTCCATCAATAATTAATAGTTCATCAATAAGTTTTACTTGAGCCGAGAAAACTTACCTCTACTTTTCAAAACTACCTATTTAAGTTGTTGAAAAAATTATACCAAGCTAAACCACCCGCCACCGCACCAAAAGCTTGCTCATGTTAACCGGATCTCGACTCCCCAGCCGTTATCTACTCATCCCATGTCACGGCGCGTAATCATTAACCATTAAATTAATTAAACACAACCACGTGATTTCCGTTCAAACATCCCTCCTCTCCATCGTTTCCCACTCCAACGCGACAAGGGTAAACCCGTCATTTCACTCCCCGGATCCCTCTTTCCACCGGCTATCGCCGGTCGCTCAGCCCCCTCACCCCCTCATATAGCTCCCCACGCTCCTCTCCCAGTGCGCCCTCATTTCCTCTCTCTTTCTCTCTCTCTCGCCACTCGAAACTTCCCTCGATTTCGAGATCCACTATCGGATCCCAACCCGATAACCCGCTTACCCTAAATCCGAATGGACTGTCTTCTTTTCGTCTTTAACACCCGTAGATAACAACTTCCCGTCAAAATGCCTTCCCGATCGTGTGCGAACCTTCTGGACCTGGCCGAAACGGGTGCGGGCTTTTCAAACCCGGTAACCCGAAGCCCGACCCGACTACCCCGCGTCATGACCTTCCCCGGTATCCTCACCGACGAGGACGCCATCGCCGCCCATCCCCCAGCAGAGCGCAGGATCATCGTCTCCAATCACCTCCCTCTCATCTCATCCCGCGATCCCGTCACCGGCCGGGGTGGAAGCCTGGGACCCCGACGCCCTAACCCTCCAGCTCCGCTCCGGCCTCCCTTTCTCCGACGACGCTCCGCCCGTACACGTCGGCACTCTCCGCGCTGACGTGGACCCCGCTGACCAGGATGACGTCACCGCTCTCCTATACGACCGGTTCCGCTGCGTCCCGGTGTTCCTGACGCCGGAGACCCATCAGAAGTTCTACCATGGGTTCTGCAAGCACTACCTCTGGCCTCTCTTTCACTACCTCCTCCCTCTCTCTCTGGCCTCCCATCGATTCGATCGGGAGCTCTTTCGGTCGTATCTCTCGGCGAACAAGCTCTTCGCCGATCGGATCATGGAGGTCCTCTCCCCCGATGATGATTACGTCTGGATCCATGATTACCATCTCTTAGCTCTGCCCACTTTTTTGAGAAAACGGTCTCCAAGAATCAAACTTGGGTTTTTTCTCCACTCCCCGTTTCCATCGTCGGAGATATTCAAGACAATTCCGGTGAGGGAGGATATCTTGCGGGCGCTGCTGAATTCGGATTTGATCGGGTTCCATACCTTCGATTATGCTCGGCATTTCTTATCTTGTTGCTCGAGGATGCTGGGCTTGGACTATGAATCGAAGAGAGGGTACATTGGGATTGAATACTATGGGAGAACTGTGAGCATCAAGATTTTGCCGGTGGGTGTTGACATGGGTCAGCTGAGATCGGTGGTCTCGATGAACGAGACGGAGGTTAAGGTGAAGGAATTGGTTGAGAGGTTTAAAGGCAAGATTTTGCTCCTGGGCTTGGATGATTTGGATATGTTTAAAGGGATTGGGTTGAAGTTTTTGGCCATGGAGCAGCTGTTGGAGGAGCACGAGGAGCTTATTGGGCGGGCGGTTTTGGTTCAGATCGCAAACCCGGCAAGGAGTCAGGGGAGGGATGTGCAGGAGGTGCAGGAGGAGATCAATCTGATAATGGGTCGGATCAACCGGAAGTTCGGGCGAACAGGGTATGATCCAATTATACTCATTGATCAGAAGATTCCAACGTTTGAGAAGGTAGCTTATTATGCAGTAGCAGAGTGTTGTATAGTGAATCCAGTGAGAGATGGGATGAATTTAGTTTCTTACGAGTATACAGTCTGTAGACAATGGAGCCCTGCTTTAGAGAACTCAGCAAAGAAGAGCATGATAGTGGTTTCGGAGTTTATTGGGTGCTCTCCCTCTCTTAGTGGGGCGATCCGGGTCAACCCCTGGAATGTCGATGCAGTAGCCGAGGCCATTAACTCAGCGATGACAATGCCAGAAGCAGAGAAGCAATTGAGACATGATAAGCATTACAAGTATGTGAGCTCTCATGATGTTGCATATTGGGCAAAATCCTTTGATCAGGACTTGCAGAGGGCCTGTAGAGATCATTACTTGAAGAGATGTTGGGGTATCGGATTCGGGTTAAGCTTTCGGGTTGTGGCTTTGGGCCCGAATTTTAGGAAGTTATCAGTTGAGCATATTGTATCTGCTTATAGGAGGACGAATAGTAGGTTGATATTGTTAGATTATGATGGCACAGTGATGCCAGAGTGTTCGATTGATAAGGCTCCGAGCGAGGAGGTTATATCGCTTCTTAATGGGTTGTGTTCAGATCCAAAGAATGTTGTGTTCGTGGTTAGTGGTAGAGGGACTGAATCTTTGAGTAAGTGGTTTGATCCTTGTGAGAAATTGGGGATTTCTGCTGAGCATGGATACTTCACAAGGTAAATTTTTTTACTATCTTTTACTGTACTTGTATTTACTTGGGTAGGCTTTTGCACATTGACTTTGTGGTTGTTTAGATAGTGGTTAGGAACATGATTGTGTAGTATACAAAGTTACAAACTATATGTCTTAATTGTGTAATAATTTAATTTAGAGATCTTTACAATAACATTGGTCAAAAGCTAATGCAAGTGTAAATGTCTGATTTGTTAATTTTCCTCCTGTATAAACATGTAAAAGATGGGAACTGTGTGACAGAAATGTATTTGGCTGTTTACTTGTGCATATAATCAGTACATACATCTTATGCGAAGTTGTTTCTAATTACTTGTAGATGGAGTCGAGATTCTCCATGGGAATCATGCCATTTAGCAGCTGACTTTGATTGGAAGAAGATTGCAGAACCAGTTATGAAACACTATACAGAAGCAACCGATGGATCCTATATTGAACACAAGGAAAGTGCGCTAGTTTGGCATCATCAAGAAGCTGATCCAGATTTCGGATCATGGCAAGCTAAAGAACTGCTCGATCATCTCGAAAATGTGCTTGCCAACGAACCCGTTTCTGTCAAAAGGGGCCAACATATAGTTGAAGTGAATCCTCAGGTTAGATCAAATTTTATTCATCCAGATATTCGTAATGTGCGAGGACTAATAGCTAATGCTTTTGCTAACATTGTGCAGGGAATAAGCAAAGGTGTAGTTGTAGAAAATCTCATTTCTACAATGTTGAGTAGAGGAAAATCTCCTGATTTCGTATTGTGCATTGGCGACGATCGATCTGATGAGGATATGTTTGAGAGTATTATGAGTGCCGCGAATAACCCATCGATGCCATCAATTGCTGAAGTTTTTGATTGCACAGTTGGTAAGAAGCCAAGCAAAGCAAAGTATTATTTAGATGACACAGTGGATGTTATCAAAATGCTTCAGGGTTTGGCTAATGCATCATTAGCTCAACCAGCAAAAAGACCAAATCTTCAGGTTTCCTTCGAAGGGTCTCTTTGAATTGAGCTATAGAATCCTAATTCCTTAATTGTTGATAGCTATATGAAGAAGATGATGTAGAAAGAAAGAAGTAAATTCTACAGAGTAAAGGCACAAGTGATCAGAACTAGTTCAAATTTATACTGTAGATGTCTTACAATCACATTGTAAATACCTTTCGGAAATGTTTGTTTGTTTTCTTGTGTTCTTTTGTAAACATTTTACAGTTATATATGATTATCCATTCCATGCCTTTTATCATTCTCTCATTTGACAAACAAACTGATTATGATGAATGTGGTAATTTATTCCTCGCGTTTATGCATTTAACTATCTATGTGATGAATTTTCTCCCCTTAGGTTGATAGTGAGATGTATAATTTGTAATGCTTTATGACTTTGTAAAGAAAACAGTCGTTTATAGTTACTTGTCAGCTTCTTTTCTACTACTAAAAAATTGTTTTAGGCTGAATAGGCATGCTGATGAAAAATATTCTAAAGTTTTGGTTTCAGAAATTCTCCGTCTGCCTCTTTTTTTGATAGAAAAATAATACAGGCACATCCTCAGTCATACCATCAACCACACCCCCTCTCTATCTACAGTGTAGGGGGCTTCACATCAGATTTTTTTAAAAAATCTGATGTGATGTCCCCTGCATTTAGATAGAGAGGAGGTGTGTGTGGTTGATGGTGTGCCTGAGGATGTGCCTGTAGCGCCTCCCTTTTTTATAGAAAAAATAAAATTGAAATGATGGTGCCTACGCTCCATGTGGATGGGACCTTGGGTGGGATGGGAGACCCTGACCTCAAGTTGCATGCCTTTGCATCAAATGTACATCAAATCTCCTTAAAGATAAAAGATAAGAAGTATTTCTGTCCGCATATATATCCAGTACCGTCTTATTTTAATATAAAAAACCAGTACTACTTATCATAACTCAAGTTGTCTGGATTATCTCTAAGTTTTTCTTTTGAATTGTCAGGATCAATTCCTGGGATGATAAGAGCTTTTGACAATATAGACGAGCGAAGTTCTTTGAATGCCCCCCTCCATTAATTTGTTTATATAATGTACACTAAAAATCGTTTATTATATTTATCTTTATCCTACGAATTTATATACTAATCAAATGATAGCGTTCCTTCCTCTGTCTATGTCCTATATTTATATTCCTCTTTTAGAGGATATGGTTCGATTGGATGTGTATGGATTGCTTGGCAATGTTATCTTAATGTGAGTTGATGGTTTTATCATGCAGACATTTTCAAAGGAAAGGAGACTGATTATATATATTTTTAATATTTTTGTATGAATAGAATATGACTCTTTTTAGCCTAACAAGACAATTTTAGTAATGGCCAGGAGCGTGCCCAAGAGGTAGATATTCTACATTATCTTTTCTAATGTTAGTTTTTATGGGTTGAATAGTATTAAAACCTTCGTGTTTGTAATTTAATTAGCGTATGGAAGACCAGATATATTTATGTTTTCGTATGTAGCATTTTAAAGATCAGTGGGTCTTATCGCTTGCATGGCGCTGGTAGGAAGGTGTGGAGCTGAGTGCTGCAGGTTAAGTGTTGTTGGATATCAACTCAAACTTCAAGTTAAGATTGTGTTTTTGATTCTTTGTATAACTTCAAGAAAATTAGATAGGGTTAGAGATCTATCATGATTAGGAGTTTGAGTGTCATCATAATTAAGAGTTTGAATCATATTCTAATTAGAAAGTTACGCTAAAGATAAGATTTTGGTTTCCCTATATATATTCTTCTATTGTTGGAGGAAAAGCCAAGAAGAGTAGAGATAAAGAGAGAGATAGAGTTTGATAGTCTTTGTCCGTGCAAAATATTATAATTTGAAGGTGATAGTGGATTGATTTTAATCCGGTGGTTTTTTTCCCTATTGAGGGTTTTTCACGTTAAATCTCGTGTGATTCTATTTGCTGCGTTTGGTGATTTTTCGGGGTTTTTGCGAGATCTAAAAATCTTAACAAGTGGTATCAGAGCGAGGTTCGATAGTTCGTGGATGTTTGACCGGTGTGCGATTAGTGAAGGTGCCAGTAGTCGAAATGTGGTGATCGACATCGGAGAGAAAAAGAAAAAAGAGGAAAGTACTGTAGCAAACACTGTAGTGACGGTGGGATGCTGTTCACGCAAATCCGACGGTTGAAATTGATTTGCCTTTTGATCGAGATCTTGGAGACAGATTTTGATGATCCAAGAGTCGTTCCTAGGTTTTACAACGTGCTGAGATCGTTTTTTACGTCAGTTTTATCAAATCCAATCTCTACAGTGACTAATTTAAATTTTAATTAGTTAGAGGATGATGGCTTCTTTGGGTCCGAAGTTTGATATTCCGCTATTTAACGTCAAGATAAATTTTACAGTATGACAATACACAGTTCAAGATATTCTTATGCAGCAGGGTGTTGATCAAGCTTTGAATGAGAAGAAACCAGAAGGATTGAAGGATGTTGAATGAAGTTTCATGCAAAAGAGCGCGGTTAGCACAATTAGTTTGGCACTCTCCCTCGAGATCAAGTACAATGTTATACAAGAGACCACACCAAGGGGGCTGTGGCAAAAACTCGAGGGGATTTATGTGTCGAAGTCGATGACCAACCGATTGTGTTTGAGGATGGCGCTTTATTTGTTGAAGATGGAAGAATGTACTGATATTCAAGATCATATCAATGCCTTTAATCAGCTAGTTTGCTAACTTATAAATATTGATAAGGAGATTAAAGAAGAAGAGCATGTGCTACTCTTATTGTCTTCCTTGCGAAAGTCGTACAAACTGATAGTTTAGACAATAATTGTAGGGAAGCAAATTTTAAAGTTTGACGATGTGACAACACTCCTACATGAGAATGAAAAAATAATAAGAAAGGAGAGCGCATTTAATTGTTGTGAGAGTGCACTAGCTTTTGAAGGTTCTAATCGAGGGAGGAGTAAGCGGAGATGTGACAGTTATCGAGGAAGGTCAAAATCTCGGGCCTAAGACGATAGCGAAAGGGAGTGCTATTACTACGAAGATAATGGTCACATTCAGTTCAGAAGTTCCCAGATACATGATGATTTGAAGAGTATTAGACAAATGAAGCTTCAAGAAAATGGGAAGAAGGCGGACTCCTCGGTGGTTGTGTGTGATGAAGATATGGTGTTGTTAATGTAGAGTACATGTACTGATGCGAGTAACACTTGGATGTTAGATTCTGCAGCCTCTATGCATGTTTGCTACAACAAAAATTATTTTAACACATTAAAGATAGATGAAGAATTTGACAACATGATTGTTAGAAACAACGAAAAGATGAAGGTTGAAGGTGTTAGAAGTGTTCGCCTCAAGCTTCACACTGGAAAGGTCAGAATTCTTCATCATGTGGGATATGTGCTGTCATGTGGTGCTAATTTAATTTTGTTGGGTAAGATGGCATCGCGTGGATACAAGTATGTGGGTGAAGGAGAGTGGTGCAAAGTGTATAAAGATGATGATTTAATTTTGAGATGGAGGAAGAATAGCAACCATATTTATTATTTAGATGGGCGATCTGTTAATGGTGTAGATGACTCTTCTCAGATTCTTATCCACAAATGAGAGGTGAATAACAAGAAGAAGAGAGTGAGTTTTTCTAAAGTCGTTGAGACACTTGGAGATTTTTTGTCGAGAGAGGATATGTTGGGTCTTAACTCAAACTCCAAGTTAGGATTGTTTTTTTGATTCTTTGTATAACTTCATAAGAATTAGATAGGATTAGAGATCTATCATGATTGAGAGTTTGGATTTTATCATGATTAGGAGTTTGAATCGTATTCCAATTAGGAAATTAGGCTAGAGATAGGGTTTTGGTTTCCCTATATATATTCTTCTATTATTGGAGGAAAAACCAAGAAGATGATTTTAATCCCATAATTTTTCCATGTTAAATCTCGTGTGATTCTATTTGCTATGTTTGTTGATTTTTTCGGGGTTTTTACGAGATCTAAAATTCCTAACAAGTGCTACATCCATGTCAATAAGATGGGAGCTACCTCCAGAGCCCTTGTGAACCACCTCTAGAGTTAATGTTGTCTGACGATGATATTGGGAAATGACAATTATCATATCGTGATATGGACATCACATGTGTAAGGTGGGGTAATTGTAATGCCCTCAAACTTAATCTCATTTATGTGGGTGTGTGATATTAAATAATTTATATAGATAAGCCTAAGACTCGTGTGTAGCATTATCGACTAGTCAATTTTGGCAATAATTTAAGCTAAACAACTGTTTATACTTAGTGGGTCCCATGGTTTACATCGCGTCAACTAGCTCGTAGTCTCAGGGCGTGACGAGATGTAAGTTGTGGGACCATTTGAGTATAACGCGTTGTTTTGGCTCAAATTACTGCCAACATTTGCTAGCCAATATTACATTTGGATCTCAGGACCCATCATTTAAATCTTCTTAAACTATATCAATTTTCCGATGTGGGATGATTAGTGGGACATCACAATCACCCTTTCTTTAATACACGACGTTTTCGTCAGAGCTCCACATTTTCGGATAGCTAACTGTTTTGATACTATTTGTCTTTAGACCCACTAGTGCAAAATGTGGGGCTTAATTCATTGCCAAATTTAAGCTAATTATTTTGTTACATTTGGCTCTTAAGACCCATCATTTAAGCTATCTTAAACTCTATCAACTTTCCGATGTAGGACATTTAGTGGGGCATCCCTTATGTAATGTTGAATTTTTTTTTTCTAATGGTGATCACAATTGGAATAATAATGCTATTTATGTTAATATCTATGTCTTCGAAATCAAGTACAAAGATAGCATACCCTTTTTACATTAATTAGTTTATTTTCAAAACTAATGATCTGGGGCATCCCTTATGTAATGTTGAATTTTTTTTTTCTAATGGTGATCACAATTGGAATAATAATGCTATTTATGTTAATATCTATGTCTTCGAAATCAAGTACAAAGATAGCATACCCTTTTTACATTAATTAGTTTATTTTCAAAACTAATGATCTATAAGAAACATAATAGATTACTTTTTTCACATTTTTTCATGGATTATTTATTTCCTTTTTTTTACATTTCCATATAAGACACAAAATGACCATATAAGACACATAATAGATTATTTATTTCCTTTTTTTACTTTTTTTCATGGATTATTTATTTCCTATTTTTTACATTTCCATATAAGACACAAAATGACCATATAAGACACATAATAGATTATTTATTTCCTTTTTTTACATTT